AAATTCTATTGATCGAAAAAGGACATGAATAGAGGACCATGACAAATAGCTTGAACGTAAAGATTTTTCGAAGGGTCCGAAATTGCATTGGTGCGACAATTAATCTATCAATCACTTCAATACGAGTTTGAAGGTGTGGTCAAGTGGTTAGTTGTGTATAGCGTCACTCAAAAATGCTTAATTGTTACAATGAAAATTGATGCTAATCCCTCGACAATAATTTTAATTTTCAATAAATAAATAATCACTGATTAAATAATTATAATCGTTTAATTCAATTATTTACAAAATATTTCAACTAAAAATCAGTGCTAAATATTCATTATCAGTAAAAAATTATTATTAATAATGTTGAGCATTTACTTTTAATTAATTACAACTTCGTGTGTTTAATTAAATCGAACATTCAATATTTGTTAAATTAATTTTTATGTTACGTTAAAGTTCCATTGCTTCTTTTTTGAATAAATATTAAATCATTATTATTTTTCCATAAGAATTAAGATTTTCAAAAATTTTAAATTCAAACCTTTTTGAAATTAAACAATTTTCAAAAAATTGTTATAAAACATGAAGATATCGATCACTCCGAGTCTTCGATTCAGAGCAATCAATATCTTCATGTTTTAAAATAATAATTAAAAATGACCGACTGATAAAATCATTATTTTATATTTTATAAGAATATTGTTACTGTAACTTCATAAAAATTATTCTCATTTCAATTCAATTATTTTCAAGAATTTTTAACTAAAATTCTTCTTTAAATGAATTATTTTTAATAATTTTTGAAAAATTTCTTTGAAAATTTTCAAATTCTTTTGTTTACAATTCAATTTTATGAAATTTCATCAATTATTCAGAAATTCTTCAATTAAATATATATATATGAGGCATTCCATGTCAAGTGATCCGGGTGGAGAAAAATTTTTCTCCAATCGTAGCAAAACTTGGGGCTTTTGTAGTACTAATAGATAGTAATTTTTCGTGAAAATATTTTTTTACCTAGTCCAATATTTTCCGAGGGGGAGGGGGTTAAATTTTTGGGTTTTTCAGTACAATGCTTATTTCGATAATTTTTTACTCTTAAACTATTAAACATAAAAATTTGGCAAGGTACATTTTGGAAAGGTTTTTTCATGCTCTTTCGATTGAAAATAAGCATTTAAAAAAAAAAAATTTTTTTGACCCAAAAAAATCAAAATTAAAAATAAATTTTAATTTTTTGGAAAAAAGGTCCCATTTTTTTTTTTTTTTTTTTTTTTAAACGAAAGCTGAGGTTTTTTCCTAAAAGGACATATAAATGAAAAAGTGGGACAAGAATGTTTAAACATTGAAAAAATGAATTTTCTCGTAAACAGAGCTAAAAACCGGGTTTAGAGAGTAGAAACGTCTGTTTTTCAATGTTTAAACATTCTTGTCCCACTTTTTCATTTATATGTCTTTTTAGGAAAAAACCTCAGCTTTCGTTTAAAAAAAAAAAAAAAAAAAAAAATGGGACCTTTTTTCCAAAAAATTAAAATTTATTTTTAATTTTGATTTTTTTGGGTCAAAAAAATTTTTTTTTTTTAAATGCTTATTTTCAATCGAAAGAGCATGAAAAAACCTTTCCAAAATGTACCTTGCCAAATTTTTATGTTTAATAGTTTAAGAGTAAAAAATTATCGAAATAAGCATTACACCGTAAGACACCTGGATCACTTGACATGGAATGCCTCATATTAGAAAATAAAAACTTCAAATAATTTCAAAAAAGTTACATTAAACTTTTTTAAAAGAATTAAATCTACACAATTTTCAGTTAAAAGTATGAAAAATTCAAACTTTCAAAGATTATAATTTGAAACCTTTTCAAAATTCAATTATTTCTAAAAAAATTCACGCTATAATACTATTTCTCTTTAAATTTGAATTGGTAAAAATGTTTACTATTTTGGAATTAGTGACTGACTTTTTGCTTTTGAATTAGTAAATTTTACTATTAAATTAGTAGAAACGACTATTTATTGGTAAAATTTGCTAATTCAAAAGCAAAAAGTCAGTCACTAATTCAAATTAGAAAGCATTTTTAGTAATTAAAATTGAGAGTTTAATATTCAATTATTATCTAAAATTTTAACTGAAATTCATATTCAAATCAATTTTTATTAGAAAATTCTACGAGAATTCAATTGTTTAAATACAAATATAACTAAATATAACTCTCATAAAAAATTATATCAACAAATTTTTAAATAATTAAAATTATTTTGACGATTTTAATAAAATTTTTAAGAATAATTTCCATTTTCAAGAAATTAAATTAAAATTGCAATAAAAATAATTGAATCTCTGTAAAAAATTAGATTGAATTGAGAAAAGTTTTTGAAATTTTGCCAACAATTTTATTAAATTTTTTGAAAATAATTGAATTTTGAAGAATAATTTTATTATTTAAAAAGATAATTGAAATTTTGACGAAATTTTTTTTAAACTTTTGACCATAATTGAATTTCTGTGAAGAATTTTATTACTTTTGAAAATAATTGAATTCTTGAGACAAATTTTAATGATATATTATGCTTTTTAAATAATTGAATTCTTCTGTGAAATTTTATTAAAATACGTAGATATTAAAAATAATTGAATTTTGATAAATTATTGCAATTAATTTAATTCTACGAAGAATTTTATTAAAATTATTTTGAAAAAAAATTGAATTGTTAAAAAGAATTTCATTAAAATTTTTGGAAATAATACATAAATTATAGGAAGGCTTTTTAAAATAATTGAATTTTTTTTACGAATTATAATAAAATTTTTAAGAATAATTACATTTTTCGAGAAATTCCATTAAAATTGTATTAAAAATAATTGAAATTCTGCGATGATTTTTATTATTTTTGAAAATACTTGAAAACCTATATATGAAAATAATTGAATTCCTGGTAAAAAATATTATTCTTCATGAAAATAATTGAATTATTGCGAAGTCATTTATAAAAAAAATTTGTAAATAATAGAATTCCTGTGAAATTTTTAGTATTTAATTCATTCATTCAGAATTGAAATTTTCTAAAATTTCAAATTAAAACCTTTTGATGTTCACCTATATTTATGAAAATTGTAAACGCAACTTTTTTAAAATTGAATTAATTTTGAATTATTTAAGTAAAATTAGATTTCATGAATGAGCACAATAACTTTAGAAAACAATAATTTTCCAGGATTCCGATCAAAATTTTCTGACTTTTCCAGGTTTTTTCAAAGTTTATAAAATTCCCTGACATTTCCAGGTTTCCAGGTTGCGTGCCAACCCTGATATGAAGTCAGATTTTTTAAATTCAAAATGGCGGATCCAATATGGCGGAAATTTTTTTAAATAATGATCGAAATCGCTTGAAACCCAAGTAACAAGTTTTAAGTAAATTCGATCAATTTTAAAAATTGTCCGACATATTGGATCCACCATTTTGAATTTTGAAAATCTGATTCCAGATTTGTATTCAGTGATCCCAAAAATCCCCCGAGTAACAAGTTTCAAGTGAATTTGAGCAATTTTAAAAAACAATTCCGCCATATTGGATCCACCATTTTGAATTTTTTAAATCTGACTTCATATTCGTAATCAGCGACCCTAAAAACCCCCAAGTAACAAGTTTCAAGTGAATTTGAGCAATTTTAACCTTTAAAGTGCTATGCCGGTCTGACAGACCGCTATTAAAATTTTCTTTGCTTGTAACTTTTTTTCAAAGTATAATAAGAACTTGAACTTTTTAGTAGCTTCATATTTTATGAAAATCTGTTAGGAGACAACTTTTTCAAAAATTTTTATTCGTTAAATTTTGTAATATAAATAAATATTTGAAGTATAGCGGTCTGTGAGACCGGGGTTAGCTTTAAGTGAAAGTATATTCCAGTATATTCCCATGAGTGACGTCTGCGCAACTTGACGCGCAGCTAGTTCTACTGATAGTTCTCATAGACTGCATTTATAAAATAAATAAAATAAATAAATGCATAATACAGAAATGACTTTTTTTGTTAAAAAGTAAAAAATATTTATAATAGTTGTCTTTTAAAAATTATAAATGACTAAAAAACTGTCAAAAGGGAATAGCGGTCTGACAGACCGGGGTTAGCACTGAGCGTGATTTTTCAACACTTAGCACTTTAAAGGTTAAAAAACAATTCCGCCATATTGGATCCGCCATTTTGAATTTTTAAAATCTGACTTCATATTCGTAATCAGGGTAATCAGCGACTGGAAATTATTAAAATAAGTGCGATTTCAAATAACTGAGACTTTAAATAAGTGAAGCTCTAGTAACTTTAACATAAAAGAATTTAGGAAAACTTAATTTAATTTTGAATTGTTTGCAATGAATTAAGAAAATAATTGTAAAACATTACAAACAAAGAGAAAATTACTGTATAATACTGTCAATAAAACGTTTCGTACATTAGTGCCAATAAAAATAGATAAATGCTGGAATTTTTTTTATAGAAGGCACTGGCTATTGATGACATAAGGGAAGGAGGAGAAATCTCTGAAGGGGCGCATAACACCCCAATGAACCAAGTACGAGTCGTCGCATCATAATGGATTTATTATTGTTGAAAATAAATTCTTCCCCATAACGACCCTAATAGAGTAACCATAGCATGGCAAACAAGATCATCCCTCCTCCTCCATAGACTATGTAAATACGCGACTACTAGAGTGAAGGAAACTAAAAAGAGATAAGCGGATGAGTAAAAAAGGAAGTGAGAAGGAGAGAAACGAAAAGAGTGGTGAAAGCCTATAACACACCGTATGGGGTGACTTTATATGCTACTAGGGTGCCATTCGAATTGGTTTAGTCTTCCTCAAAGTCAGGCCCCACACCCATTTCTCTCCAACTAAATCAAGTTCGTTGTCTTTCATCGAACAGGACTATTAAATGTCTCAAAAAATTTGTCGAAATTCAATTATGAAAATGATCAACGTTATAAAGAATTGTTATGGAACAATGACTCACCCTTGCAGGCCTTTTCGTGTAATCTTTTGTTCTCGTGAACAAGATTTTCAAATTCATTTTGAAGTGCAATGGCCGCCGCTTCTTGTGAACGATATTTTGATAGATGACCCAATAATTTTGCCAGCACATCATTCATATCGTCCTGCTTGATTCTAATACGTCGTGATTCCAGCATACGGACAAATTCAATTTCTGGTGGTGTGAGAAATATTGTCGCCGTTCCCGATGAACCGGCTCGTGCTGTTCGGCCAATTCGGTGAACATAGTCTCTAGCTGATAATGGTCCTGTGTACTGAACAACGCAGTCCACCTTTGGCAAATCAAGCCCTCGTGCTGCAACATCCTGGAAAAAAATAATTAAAGCCTGATGACTTTGACAAAAAAATTTTGATGGCCTATAAAAGAAAAGCACGTTATGCTAAAGACAATGAGCTTCAAACAATTATTGGTATATGATGAAAATGGCGACAAAAATTAAGCTTGGCTCTTGAAAACCACTAATAAAAGCTTTTTGGATTTTTTATATTATCCTTTCAAACGCTACAATAACTAAAATCACTATGTTAGGATTCGCTCAAATCAGACTTATAACTACAATATTTGATTATGATACAATAGCTGATTCTTTGCCTAAGATAATCGAAAATGAAATTAATTTTATGTTTATAAATTCTGATCATTTCTTTTTTTACTAATTCCAGGGTTGCCACGCTTTTGCTCATTTCAAATTCCCTGACTTTTCCAGGTTTTCCAGGCTAAAAAACGGAATTTTTCCAGGTTTTTAAAACTACATTTATATTTTACAAAATTTTTAATTCTAACCTTTTTGAAATTAAACAACTTATAAAAAATTGTTATAAAACATGAAGATATCGATTCGGAGCAATCGATATCTTCATGTTTTATATATATAATAATTAAAAATGACCGACTGATAAAATCCTTATTTTATATTATAAGAATATTGTTACTGTAACATATTCAAAATTACTTTCATTATTTTAATTCAATTATTGTTTTCCAGGATTTTTAACTAAAATTCTTCTTTAAATTTTTAATTATTATTAATAATTTCTGAAACATTTCTTTGAACATTTTCAAATCCTTTTGTTTACAATTCAATTTTACGAAATTTCATCGATTATTCAGGTATTCGAAAATTCTTCAATAAAATATATATTAGAAAATAAAAACTTTATATAACTTTAAAAAAATCCAATTCAACTTTTACAAAAAAATTAAATCTACACAATTTTAAGTTAAAAGTATGAAAAATTCAAACATTCAAAGATTATAATTTGAGGCCTGCTTTTCAAAACTCAATTATTATCTAAAGTTTTAACTGAAATTCATTTTTGAATGAATTATTATTAGAAAATTCTACGACAATTCAATTATTTAAATACATGAAAAATAATTTATTGAAGAATTGAATATTTTTTAAAACTGAACTCTCATTTAAAGAATTTTATCAACAAATTTTTAAATAGATAATTAAAATTCTTTTCACGAATTTCAATAAAATTTTTAAGAATAATTTCATTTTTCGAGAAATTAGATTAAAAATGTATTAAAAATAATTAATTCTCTAAAAAAATTTGATTGAATATTGAGAAAAGTTTGTGAAAATAATTGAGATTTTGTCAAGAAATTTATTAAATTTTTTTTAAATAATTGAAATATTGACAAGAATTTTATTAAAATTTTTGAAAATAATTAAATTTTAGAGAAAAATTTTAATATTTATAAAAATAATTGAAATTTTGTCTATAACTTTTTTTAAACTTTTGACCATAATTGAATTTCTGCGAAGAATTTTATTACTTTTGAAAATAATTGAATTCTTGAGACGAATTTTTTAATAATATTTCTTTTTAAATACCTAATTATTTTTAATACAAAAATAAATAATTTATTAAATAATTGAATGTTTCTCAAAATTGAATTCTTATAAAGAATTTTATTAACAAATTTTAAAATAATTGAATTCTTTTGACGAATTTTAATAGAATTTTATATAAGAATAATTACATTCTTCGAGGAATTCGATTAAAATCTTATCAAAAATAATTGAAATTCTGCAATGAGTTTTATTATTTATAAAAATAATAATTGAATCCCTGTAAAAAATTATATTACATATTTGGGTGATTCTCCGCGTAGCGCAGAACTTGGTTTTTTTCATGTTGTAATGGAAAAATAATAAATAACTTTCATATATTTTTACAATTCCAACGTAAAAAGGTTATTTATATGTTTAGAAACAAAAACCAATAATTACTTTTGTATCTAATATTATAATTTTTCATAAATAAGCGGTTTTAAGGCTGAAAACGTCAAATTTTTACCTGTCCCCACATGAAGTTTAGAAAAAAAAGTTAATAATTTTAGTAATATGCAATAATAAATACAATTACTATTGACATTTTAGTATTGTCTACTTTAGTACAGTTGAATAAAAAAAATTTTTTTTTAAAAATTCATTTTATATATGTTTTTTTTCAGTTTATGCTTGATAGCAAATTTGGATGCTATTTATTATTTTATTAACAAACAGTGAATTATTTAAATGAAAATCAAATGCTAACTTAAAATTACTTTTGTAAACACAAAAATAACTTCCTTAAGTTAATTCAGGAAAGGAATCAATGTTCTAATTGATTTATTCATTTTTCACTCATTATATGTTGGGAATTTGAAAAGGGAATCACAAAATAGTCTCCACCGGCATCCACCGACCCTTAAATATTTTATTACAAATTAAACAATTATTTATAAAAAAAGGTTAAATAAAGCGTAGTTATATTGTTTTAGTCAATACAAATGAAGTCCATTTGAAACCGATTGAAAATTAATGATATTTTTTTTTAAAAAATAAAAATAACTGAAGGCGATTGAAAAAAGTTTCCACCGACCTTAGTCTCCACCGGCATCAGAATTTCCACCGACCTTTGTATTACGAAGAACCTAGTGCAAATGTAGTGTTATGGTGCCACATATATAAGGAATAAAAAAACCTATTGCTCAGAAAAATTTACCATAAATTAATTAAATAAATTTCCATAAATTACCACGAAAATTTTTATAAATTACCGCAAAAATTTCCATAAATTACCGAAATAAAAATTTTAAACTGTGATTTCTACTTTGCATATTTTTAAAAATTACCGACAAAATTTCTTTAAATTACCTTACAAATTGCCATAAATTACCTTATAAATTTCCATAAATTACCAAAATCCAAATTTTTAATAATAATTGAAATTTTACATATTTTTATGAATTATCGCGAAAATTTCCAAAAATTTCCATAAATTACGATAAATTTCCATAAATTACCAAAATAATAATTTTTAAATGAGATTTACGCTATAATATTGTTTAAATTACCGCAAAATTTTTTTTGACAGAATGTGTCCAAACAGTGAATTAGTTAATTACTGCACTTGTTTACAACAAAAATTATAAATAATTTTTCCGGCCCGCTATGGATTTTTCTTTTTAAAGGCTTTATCTTTAAAAAAATATATTGATAATAACCATAACGATAAAAAAATTTTTTAATTTCATAAACCAAATCGTGCGCTACGCGGAGAATCACCCAGATATTGAAAATCATTGACTGGAGGAGAATTTTTGAAAAAAAAATTGAATTTGTTAAAAAGAATTTCATTAAAATTTTTGAAAATAATTGAATTTTGGAGAAAAATTTTAATATTTATAAAGATAATTGAAATTTTGTGAAATTTTATTGAAATAGTAGATATTGAAAATAATTGAATTTTGATAAATTGAATTATTAAAAAGAATTTCATTAAAATTTTTGAAAATAATTTAATTCTTTCAAGAAATTTAATTAAAAATGTATTGACAATAACACTTATATTCTAATAAATAAATTATAGGAAGGATTTTTAAAATAATTGAATTTCTTTGATGAATTTTAATAAAATTTTGAAGAATAATTATACATTTTTCGAGAAATTCCATTAAAATTGTATTAAAAATAATTTAAATTTTGCGATGAGTTTTATTATTTATGAAAATAATTGTATATCTATAAATATTTTTATTAAATTTATGAAAATAATTGAATCTCTGTAAAAAATTTGATTATTTATGAAAATAGTTGAATTATTGCGAAGAAAAATTGTAAAGGCAATTTTTTTAAAATTGAATTAGGAAATTTGAATTAAGAAAATTGAATTAAAGAAAAATTAGATTTCAAGAATAAGCACAATAACTTTAGAAAACAATAATTTTCCAGGATTCCAATCAAAATTCCCTGACTTTTCCAGGTTTTTTCAAGGTTTATAAAATTCCTTGACATTTCCAGGTTTCCAGGTTGTGTGGCAACCCTGTCGGATCATAATCATAATCAGGGTCGCTGATTACGAATCCAATGTCAGTTTTTCAAAATTCAAAATGGCGGATCCAATATGGCGGACAATTTTTTTAAAAATCGATTCAATTTGTCTGAAACTCGATTTTCAGGGAGTTTTTGGGGTTGCTGATTATGCTGATTACGTCAGAATTTCAAATTTCAAAATGGCAGATCTGATAAAGGTGAAGATTACAGATCTAAAATAAAATTGGAAAATTTAATTCTCTGATTTTTTTTTGTTTATTGCAATTTTAAATATTCTAAACTTCTTATTTTAAACGATTTTTAAACTAAAAACTTTTTCATTTATTAACGAAGTTTTTATTAGAATTCATAGCATTAAAAATTTTTATTTTCAACTTATTACAGAACAAATATATTAAAATAAATTAAAGTTAGTAGAAATTTTTCGTAAGAATTCTTACATTACTTTCGCGTAAATTTTATACGCTTATTTTTACGATTAAGAAATATTTAATTGCAATGAACAAGAAATAATCACACAATGAAATTTTCTTATTTCATTTTAAATTTGTAATCTTCATTCCTATTAGATCCACCCTTTTGAATTTTGAAAAACTGATATCAGATTCGTTATCAGAGACCCTAATTACACCCAGATACGAAGTTTCATAAAAAAAATCAATAATATTTTTAAAAAGTCGTCCGCCATATTGGATCCGCCATTTTGAATTTTAAAAATCTGTTATCAGATTCATAATTAGTGACTAAATACTAAATCAGTCATCTTGAATACTTTCATATTCTACTTTGCATTGAAAAGCAGACGGAGAGAACTAAATTTAAAGCCTTATTACAACTCTTTACGTCAAAACCATTTCTAGGAGTCTCTCGTCTGATGAGGAATGCCCCATAAGTACAATTTACATTTTTTTTCAAGTGCATGAGCTCTGCTATATGTCTAATTATTTTGATGAAACCTATTTAATTGCAAATAA